CTGTGTCTGACAGACTATCCCCTCTATCCTGTGTCTGACAGACTATCTCCTCTATCCTGTGTCTGACAGACTATCCCCTCTATCCTGTGTCTGACAGACTATCCCCGTGATCTTGGACCGCAAGGACGTGGTGGCCATGGCCCGGACGGGCAGCGGCAAGACGGCCTGCTTCCTCCTGCCGATGTTTGAGCGGCTGAAGGCACACAGCGCACAGACGGGGGCTCGGGCCCTCATCCTCTCACCCACCCGGGAGCTGGCCCTGCAGACCATGAAGTTCACCAAGGAGGTATGCGTGGCTGGGCCTGGTGGGAGGCCACGAGGAGGCAGAGGCGGCTGGCCCTCGCCTACCTTTGATCCCTCTGTCTCCCCTCTCCACAGCTGGGCAAGTTCACCGGCCTCAAGACCGCCCTGATCCTGGGTGGAGACAAGTAAGGACTCCTTACCCCAAGTCCCAGCCTCCTTGAACAGGCACAACGCGTGCCTCACGGTTCCCTTTGTGGGCCTGAGTTAGTTTTCTTTTTTTCTTTTCTTTTCTTTTTTTTTTGGTTTTTCGAGACAGGGTTTCTCTGTGTAGCCCTGGCTGTCCTGGAACTCACTCTGTAGACCAGGCTGGCCTCGAACTCAGAGATCCGCCTGCCTCTGCCTCCCAAGTGCTGGGATTAAAGGTGTGCGCCACCACCGCCCAGCCAAGTTGCTAGTTAATAACAGCAGCTTCTCTGTGTTCAGACAAGCTGGCCGTGGGGGTGAGGGGTGGGGGTGGTCACGTGGTGGAAGCTGGGACAGACAGAGGGACCCATCAGCTTACGGTGTTGGGTCAGGGAGTTTGAGACTGTGATTATACAGGACACGACATTCTCTGAGTGCTGAGTCTTTTCTGCTCCCCTGTTCTCGCTTCTCCCAAGGGGTGTAGTCTGTGATTGTCAGAAAGCCTAGCCTCCCCGAGCTACACGGAACCTGGATCCTCACGTCTATACCAGCACCAGGGGCCAGGGACAGACGCTTAGCCATAGGGGAGCTAGGGTTCTATGGGAAGCTGGTATTCCCAGGCTGAGTCACTAGGCGGCGCTGTGGGTTGGCGGCACTTTGCTGTGTCTGGAGCCAGAGAGGAACCCAGTGTCCTAAGGTTCTCGATTGTTTCTCAGAGTGGGCAGTGCCTTGTCCAGGTGTCGCATGTGAGGCATTTCTCACTTCAGTACCTATAGTGTGTGTTCCGTGGCGAGATGTGGGAATCCCTGGCTGTGGGGTAGGGGAGGGACAGACTCAGAAGCGCCGTGTTCTCAGGCTGCCTTTGCTTTCCCCCTAGAATGGAGGACCAGTTTGCAGCCCTGCACGAGAACCCTGACATGTGAGTTGTGGATGGAAGGTGATGACTGGATCCCTTCCCGGAGGGTGGCGTGGAGGGTGTTGGGGGCTGTAGTGGACCCTGGGCCTTTGGTGACCTGGCCTGTGTATTCCTTCCAGAATCATCGCCACCCCTGGGCGCCTTGTGCATGTGGCTGTGGAGATGAACTTAAAGCTTCAGAGTGTGGAGTATGTGGTTTTCGACGAAGCAGACAGGTGAGGCCACGGGTTTACCCCTGAGCAACTGTCCCCAGGGCCCAGGAAGCAGAGAAGGGAGGCCCCAGGAGACTAGGTCTGCTGGGGAGATGTGGATGAGTGTTTGAGTAGTCCCATCCCTGGGGCATCTACGCGGGTCGTTGTAAGTTTATGACTTAGTGCTGAGGAGGATGCTACAGTCCATGGTGTCCGTCCGTGAGCAGTAGAGAGTGCTCACTGAGGATGCGTAAGGCTGAGTTCACTCCCCTACAGCAGAGACACAGACACACAGATTAACAGTACCACATGGCCGGGGTTCTGGAGTGAGGGTAGCTGGGGTTCCGAGCTCTTTATGATAGAAGCCTACCACTGACCCTCCCGGCCCACTGTCCCCTGCAGGCTCTTTGAGATGGGCTTTGCCGAGCAGCTGCAGGAGATCATAGGCCGCCTGCCTGGAGGCCACCAGACGGTGCTGTTCTCAGCCACACTGCCCAAACTGCTGGTGGAATTTGCACGGGCAGGTGAGCCAGTGGACCTCGGTGCTGGACTCAGGGTGGGGGCTGGGGGCTACCCCTCTGTGACCCCTGCAATCTCCCCCACACCCCAACAGGCCTCACAGAGCCCGTGCTCATCCGCCTGGACGTAGACGCCAAGCTCAATGAGCAGCTCAAGGTAGGCCGTGTTGGGCCCCTTCCTCAGGCTAGTGGCCAGGCAGAGCCAGCCAGCCCGTGGCCAGGAGCCCACGTCCATCCCTCTCCCCTCAGACCTCCTTCCTCCTCGTGCGTGAGGACAGCAAGGCTGCTGTGCTCCTCTACCTGCTGCACAATGTCGTTCGGCCCCAGGACCAGACCGTGGTGTTCGTAGCCACAAAGCACCATGCGGAGTACCTCACAGAGGTGAGCCAGGGCTCTCGGGATGGAGAAACCCGTGGGGGTCTCAAACCAGCTTCCTCTGGTGCCCAGAGTTGCACTTCCAAAGGAGGCCACCAGAGGGCAGCAACGGAGCGCCCATGAGCCTGGGTGGGGCTTTTTCCCACACACCGTCAGTCCCATTCGTGAGGGTGCAGCTCCTGTCGGCTCACCCGAGTTGGTTTTGATCTTTCTGGCTTTCTGTCCAGATCATCTGCAGCAGCTCCCAGCGGGCCTGAATTTGGGGGGCTGAATTTCCAGTTTGTGATGTGCCCAGTGCCTAGACAGAATGCTAGCGTGTGAGCAGGGTGGTATGGGCCCTTGGCCTCTTCTGTGCATTCACACCTGTGTGACCCTCAGCTAGATGCAAGTCTGGGGAGTCCCAGCAGCCTGGAAGGCTGGGGGAGGGGCTGCCTAACCACTGTCTCGCCCCAGTAGGCACACCTGGGCCCCGTTGAGGACACGGGTGTCTGACTCTCATTTACCCAACATGTTAACGGTGCCTTCCTCCCCCTGAGCGTCTGAGACTAAAATAGTAACATGGAGAGAGCGGTTGGTGCTCCCACGGGCTTCCTGTGTTTCAGGCTTGCTCCTCCATGGTGCACGAACCATTTAGTCTTGTGAGGCACAGAGAGCCTGAGTCATTTGCTCATGGTCACACAGGATCCAGCAGCCCTGCAGAGCTGGGAGGCGATGGGAGCTGCTTTGATGCTGATGCAGGGGGCCGTCAGGCCAGCCAGCAGTGCTGCGGGTTCAGACCCACAGTGCATGGCGCCCTGGCCTCGGCCCAGCCTGCAGCCCTTGCTCCTGCAAGCCTTCCCCGCCTCACCACCTTCGCTCTCCACAGCTGCTGACGGGCCAGGGTGTGAGCTGCGCCCACATCTACAGTGCCTTGGACCAGACGGCCCGCAAGATCAACTTGGCAAAGTTTACACACAACAAATGCTCCACCCTCATCGTGACTGACCTGGCCGCCCGGGGCCTGGATATCCCACTGCTGGACAACGTCATCAACTACAGCTTCCCTGCCAAGGGCAAGCTCTTCCTGCACCGAGTGGGTGAGGAGCTTGGCTGCACTGGGGGACTTCGGGAGGGAGCCACTGGACCATGCTGGCAGCTGGGAATCTGGGGAAACTGAGGCCTTAAGTAATGTCCATTAGGTTGATCCTGACAGGTAGCTCAGCTCCCAGAGCTTCCTTCCTTGCGGTGTTGGGAACAGAATCCATGGTGTCGCTCATGCTGGGCCAACTGCCACAGACCAAGTTGTGTGCTGTTCATCAATGCAGACAGATAAAAATACGCATGGGGCAAAGCTGGGCATGGGGATTCTTAGAGCTGTTCTCTAAGGCTGAGTGTGACTGGATTCATGCACATCTACCAGGCAGAGGATGGCAGCTCTGGGCGTCTGTGTCCTTCACTGTAAGGCCCACCGGGGACCCTGGCCGGGTCTCCTGCTGTGAGACCCACATCCCGACCTTGCTGGTGGCTGCCTGCTGGCTCCGGGTCTCCCCTGCTCTCTGGACTGGTTGGCTCCCCGTCTGGGGAGTTTCCAGAGCTACTGGGGGAATTCCTCTGGTGCCACATGACAGACCCCTGCCACTGAAACCAGCAAATGAGGGGAGACAAGGGAGAGAACTGGGCGTGGCAGGCCATGTCTGTGGTCATAGCACTTAGGATGCTGAAGCAGGAGGCTCGGGAGTTCGAGGCCAGCCAAGGCTAGATAGACCCTGTCACCCATAAGAAGCCTGGCTGAAATGTGATACCTATAACTCACTCCACACTGAGCTGAGGTCACGTTGGGCTGGTTCCTACCAGCTGCCGCTGTTCCAGTCTCTAGCATTTACAGCTGTTTTCATTTACTGTGACGTCCTCCTTCATGGGCGGCCCGTCTTCAGTAAAGGGCTGAGTGGTGACAGTTTTCACATGGTGCACTATACCACCTTGGTTGTAGCTAATTCAGGCTCCGGTGTTAGCGGAAAGTTCCACTGGGAATATGTAAATGAGTGGGCCTGGCTGTGTGCCAGTAAAACTTTATTGTACAAACAAGTGGTGGGCCGGGCGGAGCTCCCCTGTGCTCAGCTCTGTAATTCCCTGAGGGTTATCGGCTTGTTGGCCAGTCAGTCCTCTGTCCTGACACCTTCGGGAAGGTCTGGCCCAAACCTTTTTTTGTGAGAATTTCCAGTCTTAATTATTCCTTGGGAAAAAAAAAATCCTCCCAAAGTGGGAGTGGCCAAGACTTTGAGTCCTGGTCCTGAGGGGTACTTGCCCCACTTTTGATCACTCAGTACTCGCCTGTGCCCACACCTGACCACCTACCCTGTAGGTGGGACAGCAGTCCAGGAAAGGCCCTGGCCTAGCTCTAGGCCTCGGAGTTGGGGGTCCCATGGCTGAAACTCAACTTTTCCTCCCCCAGGCCGTGTGGCCCGAGCAGGCCGAAGTGGCACAGCCTATTCCTTGGTGGCCCCAGACGAGGTCCCCTACCTGCTTGACCTACACCTGTTCCTGGGCCGCTCTGTCACCCTAGCCCGGCCTCATGAGGAGCCTTCAGGTGAGGCGAGGCTGGACAGGGCTCAGGTCCCCGTGAAAGTCATGGGCAGGTGGGGGTGCGGTGGTCTGGCTTCAGGAGACGGCTGCTGGATCTGACTGTGTCCTGGGAGGTGCTAGGTGCTGGGTGCTGGGGCTACTCTTGGGCTATTGTTGCCAGAATGGGGTCTGGTTGAGCATGCCACTCTAAATGTCCCTCTTGTCCGAGGCTGTTGTCCTGGAGTCCATAGGCCATGCAGGATAGATTGTAGGCCGACTCCTCGATGTGCCTTGTTGCTGGCAGGCGCGGCTGCCAGGGACGGAGTGCTGGGTCGGGTACCACAGAGTATAGTGGATGACGAGGACAGCAGCCTGCAGACCGCCATGGAGGCATCACTGGACCTTCAGTGCCTGCAGCGTGTGGCCAACAACTCTCAGCAGCAGTATGTGCGCTCACGCCCGGCGCCCTCGCCTGAGTCCATCAAGAGAGCGAAGGAACTGGACCTGGCTGAGCTGGGCTTGCACCCACTCTTCAGTGAGATTGGGCAGGGTGGAGTGGAATAGGGGGGACTGGCTCTTTAAAGCCCAGCCTGGCCTGACGCACGTCCTGCCCCTGTAGGCTCGTGCTTTGAGGAGGGAGAGCTGCAGCGACTCAGGCTGGTGGACAGCATCAAAAACTATCGCGCGCGCACAGTGAGTGAACAGGGGGCCACACGGGGGTGGGGGGAGTTCCTGCGACCCACGGCTGGTCCGTGTGTGGTCACCTCCCATCACTCAAAGATAGATCGGATCTCCTGAGGGATGTGGTGTGTTCTCTGCCTTCCGGATCCCAGTCTTGACCCTCCCTTACCCATTCATTCCTCCTGAGTAGCCACGGGCAGGCATGTGCAACGGGGCTTGGGTACAGAGGCAAGGAGAGCCCAACCAGGTGACCAGTGGCACAAGCAAAGTGACACGGATAAACCAGTAACCACTGGTTCAAAGTCCAGTGCCCTGAGTCTCAGGTCCGGGTTCTGACTGTTCTTAGCTGCGTGGCCTTGGGCAAGACAGCCACTTTCTCTGGGCCTCCCTCTAATTGTGCATTACGGATATCTAGGGTTCCACCTCTCACAGTGAAGACTTGATGAGTATCCATACAAGTCGCAGCTGGCTTAGGGTAGGGCTGGGAGTAGGTGGGTAGTAGTCGGTAAACGTGGTATCCTTTTGCAGACCATCTTTGAGATCAATGCCTCCAGCAAGGACCCAAGCAGCCAGATGATGCGAGCCAAGCGGCAGAGGGACCGAAAAGCTATTGCCAGCTTCCAGCAGGGGCGTCAGGAAAGGCAGGAAGGCCCGGCTGGCCCAGTCCCCCAGAAGGAGCTGCCTCAGAAGGAAGAGGAAGAGGAGGACATGGTTGAGACTGTAGAGGTGTGGGCTGTGGGGGAAGCTGGTGCTGGGGGACACGCAGCTAGGTCCCAGAAGCCCACAGGACAGGCAGTGGTGCAGTTCCATCTCCCCATGCTGTCTGTGGAAGTGGAGGACCATCTCAGCTTACAGTCTGCAGAATGGGGGTGTGGAGACGAAGGCAGGAGGATAGCCACAAGTTCAAGGGCAGCCTAAGCTACAGCGTGGTACTGTCTTGGATAAGAGCTGCCTCAGCAATTAGGCAGTTAAGAGCCCATGTTCTACCGGGTGGGCCTTTGATACCAGCACTTGGGCAGCACAGGCTTACACATCTCTGTCAGTTCAGGGCCAGCCTGAAAACAGGTCTCCAAACTGAGACCCTGTCTCAAAATCGACAAAGGCCTCTGCTCTCACAGGGGATTGGTGTTCTGTTCCCAGCATCACATTCCATGCTCACAACTGCCTGTATCCAGTTCAAGGGGATCCAGCACCCCTGTGTATGTACACACATACACACACACACACACACACCTCTAAAAATAAAATCTTAAGAAAAAAAGAGCCCCTTTCCTGGATGTTGTGGCTTGGGCTGTGGCTAAGCTAAGCTGCTCAGCGTGAGGTCCTGTGGGAGAACTGCCCTAGGAGGTGGGGCTGGAGGATGGTGTCCACCCCTGCACACCATCTCTCCTGTCTCAGTGAGGCAGGGAGAGCCATAGTCTGAAGACGCAGCCACAAAACCCTGGGTGCATCCCATTTGTATAGAAGGAACCATCACCAAGTGCAGTCAGGGCCGGGACTGAGCATGGTGGCATATTGCCAGCCCCGCCCCTCCTGCCTGCTCTCCAAGGGTGACTGCAGGTGAGGACACAGGGAGACGTCTTCTGGCAGAGGACAAAGGAAGTCCTGGCCTCTTGGTTCTAGTGGGACTCCTCAAAGCCACAAGGATGACTCTGTGGGCCTCTGCCTTCCAGGGTGTCTTCACAGAGGTTGTGGGCCAGAAACGGTCAAGGCCAGGACCCAGCCAAGGAGCCAAGCGGCGGAGGAAGGAGGCCTGTCAGCGAGACCAGGAGTTTTACGTCCCCTACCGGCCCAAGGATTTCGACAGTGAGCGGGGGTGAGTGTGAGCTAAGGGCCCAGCATGGGGTGTGGACAGAGGGTCTGGGCCCCGTTAATCAAATCTCCCACTTGAACCTGCAGGCTGAGTGTCAGCGGGGCTGGGGGGGCCTTCGAGCAGCAGGTGGCTGGTGCTGTCCTCGACCTGATGGGGGATGAAGCGCAGAACATGAGCCGGGGTCGGCAGCAGCTCAAGTGGTGAGTGATCGGCCCCTGTGCCACCAGGCGTGGTCTTCTGGGTCCCCTTTTGACTGCTCAGAGTAAGGTGGCGACTCCTTCCCTGCTCCGTACGCCCGTGTTTGGTAGCTGGCCTTTCCTGGCAGGCCTCTTACCTGCTGTTCCCACAAGGACTCTGATGCAGCTCCCCCAACACACACAGGGCTCGAATGTGATGTGGGGATCGAGCCCCACGTCTCCAACCCCCATGCTCCTTTTGAGACTTGGGCTGTCCAGGGAAGGTGGCGAGGTGGTTGAGGAACTGTGTCCGGTGCAGACCAGAGGTGGCTGGCTCTTTTCCTTTAATCCTCTACTGACTTACAGTTGACGCGTAAGTGAGGGAACGGGTTCCTCAAAGTAGAACCTCCCATCTCCCTTTCAGGGACCGGAAGAAGAAACGGTTTGTGGGGCAGTCAGGCCAAGAGGACAAGAAAAAGATCAAGACAGAGAGTGGCCGGTATATCAGCAGCTCTTACAAGCGCGACCTGTATCCTGAGACTGGGCTGTGGAGGGGCGGGGCCAGGCGGCCTCCTGCTCCTATAGGAGGGGCCAGGTCTGGGGGCGGGGCTGGGCATTCAGTTGCTGCTCCTATAGGAGGGGCCAGGAATAGGGGCGGAGCCAGGCGATCAGCTGCTGTTCCTATAGGAGGGGCCAGGAATAGGGGCGGAGCCAGGCGATCAGCTGCTGTTCCTATAGGAGGGGCCAGGAATAGGGGCAGGGCCGGGCGTTAAGCTGCTGTTCCTGTAGGAAGGGCTGTTTGGGGTTGGGGCTGGGCGTGTAGCTGCTGCTCTACAGGAGGGGCTGCATCTGGGGGTGGGGCCGGGTGTTCAGCTGGTGCTCCTATAGGAGGGGGGTGCGCCTGGGATAGGGCCGAGTGGCTTCCTCAGCACCCCCTAATAAGGGTCTTCTCCCCAACTTGGTTGCTACTTGTTAATTCCTTAACGAGGTTTTCAGCTACCAGAAGTGGAAGCAGAAGCAGAAAATTGATGACCGGGACTCCGAGGAAGAAGGGTCATCCAACCAGCGAGGCCCTGGGCCCCGCAGAGGTGGAAAGCGAGGTCGTAGTCAAGGTGGGCAGGGCAGGTGGTGTGAATAGGGAGAAAGCCAGGCGCGGTGAGGTGCAGGGATGAACATGGATCGAAGGCTGAGCTCCCCCAAAATCTCTGTGTTGACAGGTGCATCCCTTCCCCGAGCGTCCAGTGTACCCACAGGCCGCATGCGGTCGGAACTCAAGACCAAGGAACAGATCCTCAAGCAGCGCCGGCAAGCCCAGAAGCAGCGCTTCCTGCAGCGAGGGGGCCTGAAGCAGCTTTCAGCACGCAACCGCCGCCGAGCCCAGGAGCTGCGCCAGGGTGCCTTTGGCCGGGGTGCCCCCTCCAGGAAGGGCAAGATGAGGAAAAGGATGTAAAGAGCCAGACTTAGCCCTGGGGCTTCCCAGTAGCCCGAGTGTGGCCATCAGGGACGTATTTCCATGTGCTGTTGGCAGATCCGTCCACAAGAGGCAGTGTCTATGGGGAGCAGTGCCGTATAGCCACAGAAAGCGACAGCTGCTTTTGACTGGGACACTGGATGAACACTTAAAGGATGCATAGGAGTCTAGCTACGCAGAGCAGGCATGAGTTCAAGTCCTGAGCCTGCAAGTCAGCCGGGTTCAGAGATCAGGGCCATGTGGATGCCCCTGACCCCGTATTGGGTTTCAGTGTAATAAACTTTACATTGCGTCTAGTAGACCAGGAGTGTCTAGCTTCCTTAGGCTGTTGGAAGGTATCTCAGACATTGTCAAGGCTGAGACAGGTGGCCGCTGAGGTGAGGAAGATGAGACTGGATCCAGTCACCCGCCTGAGGTAGCTCAGGATTGCTGCAGGGCGGAGGAAGGCTGTGGTGGCATTGCCCTTCAGCACGTGGAAGAGAGAACCAGCCGGCACCATCCTTCAGGGCCTCCATTCTGCGGTGGCTTTCCCCACCTCTTGCTTGAGGATGCGGGGAGGGGTAAGGGGGGGTCAAGCATCCTCTAGCAGCTGGACCTCAGTGCAGGCCAGACACACACTGTTGGGCCCGAAGAGCAGATGGTACCAACAATCACCTGCTCCCCAGACCCAATGTACATAGCAAGTGGCCATCTTGGAGTGCACCAGCCCAGTCTGAGCTTGTCCAATGCCCCCAGCCAGCTGGGAGAGGCCTGTCCCCAGCCTGTTGTGGTGGATGGAGTGACCAGCCCAGCTGTCAACCCCATTGTCTACTTAAAACTGAGTTCATACTGAGTGTCCTGTGGAAGGCTCCCCATGGCGTGAGCCTTCTTGCCCAGGAGAAAGGATATTCAGAGAGCGGTTGTGTTGAGCCTGTACACCAACAAATGTGGGACTTGGTCCTCAAGTCCCCTTCACTGTTCGCCTGGCTTAAGAGTAGGCGTGGGCTTAGCCTGGGGACAGTTGGCCAGTGTGGCTGAGGCGTTCATGATAAACAGCTTCACCTGGGGACAGGGATGACATGGGCAGATTACATCCTCTCCTCACCCCCACAAAGGGAGGTCCAGAGCAGGGGTGAGCCTGGAAACCCCACTGGAGGGGCACTGAATCGTGTCTAGTCCAGCCTATTAAAAGTTTCCTTTGTTGTGTTTATTGGTAAAGTACAACTCAAACTTGGCCTCTGTCCTGTTTCCTAAGTGTTGAAAATGATTGTGTGTGTGTGTGTGTGTTTGGAGACAAGGTTTCAATAGTCCTGTCTGTCCTGGAAGTCACTCTGTAAACCAGGCTAGCCTCAAATTCAGAGTTCTGCCTGGTTCTGCCTCCTGAGTGCTGGAGTTAAAGGCGTGTGCTGCCTTGCCCAGCCACTGAAGGAAATCTTTTTGTTTGTTTGTTTGTTTTTTGCTTTTTGTTTTTTGTATTTTTGTTTTGTCTTGTTTTTGTTTTCGAGACAGGGTTTCTCTGTATAGGCCTGGCTGTCCTGGAACTCACTCTGTAGACCAGGCTGGCCTTGAACTCAGAAATCTGCCTGCCTCTGCCTCCCAAGTGCTGGGATTAAAGGCGTGCGCCACCACCGCCCGGCATGAAGGAAATCTTAAAGAGACACTTTGCAGCTTTCCAGCTGGCTCCCTGTCAGCCTGGTGTCCCACCCACATGAGGTCATGTTTCCCTCGGATGGGGCTTATTACCTTATCTTTCATTTGGTGCTAATTGCTCATGTATAGGAACTTAACGGACACCTCTAGGTCCACTGCCATGAGCTGGAGGCAAGCTCATACACAACAGCCTGTGGGAGCCTCCTCATGTCTATCACCTGGGTAAACATTGAGGCCACAAAACGAAGGAAAAAGCAGAACAGCCATCCCTTGCCACGGCAGTGACAGTGAGGATGGTAACAGTTCTCTGCTCTGGCCAGCCAGACAGTGAATCTTGCCCTTGAGACCCAGCACCCTCCTGAGTCTTCCTCACAGGGGCAAAGGGATACAGAAGAGGGACTAACTCAGCTAGTCAGACAGTGCACAGCACGCCTGTAATCCCAACACTCGGGAGAGGGAGGAGTTCAGAATCAGCTACATGGTGAGAATCTCGGGTAAGCCTGGGCTCCATGTGACACCCTGCCAAAGACTACCTGGTTCACATGACCCCGAGACCTTCCTGGATTTGGCATGTGGTATCACAAAGACCAGGGCAACTCCTGATTAAACCGTGGCCTCTGTGAATCTAACCAACACTGTACGAAACACAGGGATCCACACGCAGTCCTGGTGGGTACAGTCCTGGCAGCTGAGCGTGGTTTTCTGGCTGTGTAGTGGGGCACTACTTGTAAAGGGCCCTTAGCCTCTCTAGGTAACCTCTCTAGGCTTTCCCAAAAAGGAAGTGTTGAGCAGTGAGTGCTACCGAGTATCTCACCTCCTCCAGCTGCCCCTCCATGTCCTCCACGTCCAGGGCTTTCCTCCGACCCTGTTTCTGGAGAACAAGCTGGTACAGGTTGAGCACAGCCATCCTAGCGCGTCCTAGGAACAGCATCTTTTCTGATGCCGTGTTCTGAACTTCAGTCCACTTGGCTTCCTGTGGAACACACGCCCAGAATGCCATTGAACGGAGACCTGGCCCTAGAGTCCGGAAGGCCCTATTATCTGCCTAACTGGTGCACCCAAGTTGTTCTGTGGAGTGGTGGCAAGCACTGTCTCTGGTCCCTCAATCCCCTGGCTAGCACAGTGGGTGGGTCCCCCGGGGGCGCGCACCCACTGTTGTGTGAGCTCCCGTGCCGCCTCTAACTTCACACACAGGTGAGTACGTTGCTGGCTCAGACGCAGTAGCTCATCCTGCTTCTCTTTCTGCAGACTAAGCAGCCTCTCCCGGGTCACCTCCATCTCCACCTGTCGTCTGAGCTCCGCCTTCTTCAGTGCCAGCTGTGTCTGTACCAGGCTCTCAAAGCGTGCCACCAGGTCAGAAACCTCCTGAAACTGAATGAGGGGGACTCACATGGCCTGCAAATCCTCCTCCCCTGCCCACCTGGCTTGCCAACACACCCTGGCAGCGTCCTCAGTCCAGGTGTGCCACGGGACATCTCAGGCCCTGAAATGAATTAGCATCTGACCTATGTTCATGCCCTTCTCCCTTCCATGGTCAAGCCTAGCTAACTAAGCTGGCTAGGTGCCACAGCTTGTCCTTGACACCACTTCATTGTTGAGTGGCTGGTGCCTGGAATGCCAGCATTTGGGAGGCTGAGGCAGGAGGGTTGCAGGAGGAGGTCAAGGCCAGCCTCGACTACATATCAAGTATCTCGATAGCTTGGGCTACAGAATGGGACTCTGTCTCAATGCCCTTCCCCCTTCCCCCCCCCCCCCCCATGGAGCTGAGCATGATGGCAGCCCAAGCCCAACGTAGTAAAGAGTTGAAGGTAGGGACGGGGTGGCGCACACCTTTAATCCCCTTTAATCCCAGCACTCCGGAGGCAGAGGCAGGTGAATCTCTGAGTTCAAGGCCAGCCTGGGCTATACAGAGAAAAACTGTTTCAGCAACTGTTTCCCCATGTAGGGAGTTCAAGGCCAGTCTAGGCTATATCCTCATGTCTCAAAAATAAAATAAGTCAACCAAACCTGTCGCAATAAACCAACCAAAGACACACATACATTTCTCCCCAAAAATCTAACCTTCCACAAATAATAAAATTTATATTATTGTCTGTCTTCAAGCTGTCTCTGTCTCTCTCTGTCTCTGTCTCTCTCCTCTCTCTCTCCTCTCTCTCTCCTCTCTCTCTCTCTCTCTCTCTCTCTCTCTCTCTCTCTCGCTCGCTCGTACACGCACGCACGCACACCTGCTTAACTTCGTGGCCTTGAGTGTGAGTGAACTTTCTGCAACTTTTTTTTTTTTTGACATGTAAAATGGGCTCGGCACTGCTCACATTGGGCACCTGCTCCAGCGCCCTCTCCAGCACCCGCGCGCAGGGCTCCAGGCGTTGAACTTTCGGCAGCAGCCGCGCCCGCTTCAGCCGCAGCTCCTTCAGCTGTGCACGCAGCCGCAGCGCCTCTGCCTCCAGGCTGCGCATTCTGTGCCGCTCCTCTATGGCTTTCCGTGCCGCACGCCAGGTCTGAGCTTCCTGGGGGAAGAAGGGTGGCGATCCGGAAGCCTCAGAACTCTGGAGGTGCTTGCGGGGCTCTTCTGTCTCCACCAAACCACAACTTTTGCTCTCTAAGCCACCCGAGCTGGGATTCGAGGTCCTTGCGCCTCCTCAGACCTCTGACCACCTGATCTGCACGTCCCCACTTCCCCGGGTCATCGCCCACGGTGGCTTTCCTAGTTGGGGCTACGCTAGAGTGTCAAGCAGGAGCCCCTGCAACCTGCCTTCGGGCCTCAGCCTCCACTGACCTTCAACTGTTTGTCAAAGCTGACGACGGACCCCTTAAGCGCCTGCCCTTTCTGTTCCAGCTCTGTCCAGCGTTGGTCCACCGAGTTCATAGTGCTGCGGAATTCCTTAGAGCAGGATGCAGTTAGAGGTGTGTGTGTGTGTATCTGCTCCTTCAGCTGGGCACACAGCCGCAGCGCCTCTGCCTCCAGGTTGCGCATTCTGTGTCGCTCCTCTATATCTTGCACACAAAACCTTCCGGTGCGCCCCCCCCCCCCCTGCTGGTCTCCCAACCCTTTCCCCTCTAGACACTCCATGTTTCCAGCTACCTGATTCCCTGATTCCCTGAGCTTTTTTTTTTTTTAAGTATTTTTTATGTTTTGAATTGTGTATTTCAGGGAGGGGGTGTGTACATGTGAGTGTAGTGTCTGTAGAGGCCAGAAGAGGGCGCTGGATCCCCTGGAGCTGGAGCGCAGGCTGTTGGGAGCCACCTGACACGGGTGCGGAAACTTGAATTGGAATCCCTCTGAAAGAGCCAGTGCTGTTAACCGCCAAGCCGTCTCTCCAGCCTCATGACTCTCTGAGCTTTGTCCTTGAATTCAGTCTTCCTCCAGGAAGCCTTGTCTGATCGTTCCATTGGTGAGTAGAGGTTCCCCCGTCCCACCCCCACCCCCACCCCCCGCCGAGTCTGACAGCCCTTGCAACCTCCACCCAGTCACCTCTTTTCCTCTCCAAACTGTGAAACCCTGGAGGTCAAGGGGTCAGTGTACAGCCCTGCACACAGTAGGCGCTCAAGTACCAAGTGTTCTCACACCATCTTCCTTTGATGGATAAGGACATCAAAGCTCAGAGTAGACTCACCCTAGACCCTAGATTGGGCGCCACCAATGTGTGTCTGAGGAACCCTCAAAGTTTAGCAACCAAGCCTTACCTTCTTCTGGGCCTGCAAACTCTGGTCTGCAGCTGCTAGCTCTTTCTTCTTCTCCAGTATAAGCTGCAAGGCCGAACTGTCATCCCTATCCTGTTCCAGTGGCTTCCTGAAGGGACCCAAAGGGGAGGAGTTAACGAGAAGAAGGGGGGCAGACTCCCTGGGGATGCCCGAGATGGCCCACTCACTACCTACAGAGTCAGTTTGCTTTTGTTCTAAAAGGTCTCACGTAGGCCAGGCTAGACTTAAACTCTTGATCCTCAAGCCTCTACCTCTTGTGTGTTAGGAAGACAGGCACGGGGCTGGCACTCTGGAGTTTTAATTGTTCACAAGTTTGCTGTGTTCTTGTTCTGTGCAGGCAATGTCCTTGTCACAGAGGGTGCAACCATCATGAATACAGACAGAAACCCATGTTCCTGGGAGCTGTACTCCCCTGAGGACCACGGACAGCTAAAATGGACACTAATAGGATACAATGCCTAGACACAGTGGGCCCTGGGATATAGAAGTCAGTACACCAGAGGCACTTGTCAATACGAAGTCAGGAAGTTTCTCTGATGAAAGACACCATTGTACTGACCACTTTAGGGAACAGAGTCCAGGTCAACGGAATGGCTACGAAACACCCAGACTCCCAGCGAAGCACTCGAGTCCATTAAGGATGTCTTAAAGAAGAAAGGAGATGGCAGGTTGAAACTAAAATCAGAGCCATCCAAGGTCAGACTGTGGCAGGCCCCGGAGAAAGAAAACATTGGCCATGACCGTGGCCGGAGATGAGAACCATGGGAAAGTTTTGAGTGGAAGAGAAAACCCTTGTGGCTGGCCTGAGGAGCTGGGGCCCGGAAGTACTCAGTGACGGGGCTTAGTGTACTCGAGAAAGAATGTCGTTCTGATCCAGGTAGGCATGATGGGAGGTGGGGATGGACCCATTCTGGATTCAGCTTCACAGCGGAGCTGTGAAGGGCAGGGTGACAGCGGGGTGAAGGTGACCTCAGCAGCTGGAAGGATGTCACACTGAGGGATGTCACCAGGTGGGATGATTTGGACAAGTTTCTTCTCTAACCACACACAAGAGACAATGGAAGCATTTCTCTGTGGGGAGTAGTCCAAGAGAGGCTGGCTATGGGAGCCTGGCTCTCCCCGGGGTGATGAGAGAGAATCAAAGAGAGTCTAATCTCTCATTCAACAAGGTTCATCCAGCTCTGCATCAGAAGGGTCTACCAGCCCCCATCCCCCGGGACCCAACTTAACAGATACAGGTCCCACTGTCTGGAGGCAATGCATTACAGAGCTGTCATCCTTAAAATGCAGCTTCTCCACTGGACAGCAGCTCACACGAAAATCCCTTTCCACCCTGGTTCAAGGATTTCATTTCTGTGAGATACTGGCCAAGGCTCAGGGCAGGAGCATGCTAGCCACCTCAGAAGCTGACAGCCCAGGGCTGCTGGCCAGCTCAGCTCTAACTTACTCACCGAGATCTTGGAGGGGAGACCTATCTGAGTTACGCATTCTCTTAGGGCTTTTGCACCCCACCCCAAAACTGCTCAAAGGAATGAAGCTGCAGGGACCCTAGAGGAAAGGCTGGCCTCTCTGCTTGCTCTCCCTCCATCTTCCCCATTCATCCTCTCTTGGGCCACTCACAGGAGCCGTTTCTCTTTGAAGGCCAGCCGGAAATACTCCTCCCAGGCCACTGCCATTGTCCCACAGGTGTCTTCCAACCACCTTAGCACAAGCAGAAGGATTGCTCTGTCTGGAACTCCCAGAAGCCCAAGGCCTAGCAAGCCACGGTTGCCACGGCAGCCAACAGTAAACAATCTGTTGCCAGGCAGCAGCCAAGGACACACCCCTGACAGGGACAGACAGCAGCCAGGAAGGGAGGCTATCCTCTAATCTAAATTTGGAGGCAGTGGATGGGACATGGGTCCTGGGTCAATATTTCCTTTTCCGGGGGTGAGGGGGCTGTGTCTAGCCAAGCCTCTTCTCGGCGGGGTACAGTTTGGCATCACTATGCAACAGCTTGCTCCTTCATCCACCGGGAGAATAAAAGGAGCTGGACTGGGGCTCAGGGCTATAGCTCTCTCCTGTCATTGGGAGACAGAGGCTGGTGACTCTTTATGAGTTCCAGGACAGCTGGGGCTACACACACACACACACACACACACACACACACACAAATTCCCTATCTTGGAGAAAACAACAGCAACAAATTTACTACATGTATTTAATGCATCTCTCTCTCTCTCTCTCTCTCTCTCTCTCTCGCTCGCTCGTGTGTGTGTGTGTGTGTGTGTGTGTGTACACACTCTGTGAGACTTCTTTCTCTCTTAACCTCATGGGACCTGGGGATTGAGCCTCCTGTCACCATCTCACAAATGCTGTGACTACAGGCACACTGGTTAGCTTTGTGTCAACTTCACACACGCTAACGTCGTCTGGGAGGAGGGAAACTTCAACAGAGAAAACGCTTCCAAAAGATGTACCAAAAAAAAAAAAAAAGTCTACCAGCTATAGACAAGCCTGTCAGTCATTTTCTTAATTAGTGATTGATGGGAGAGGGCCCCGCCCACTGTGGGTGGAGCCATCCCTGGGCTGGTGGTCCTGGGTTCTATAAGAAAGCAGCCTGAGCAAGCCATGGGGAGCAAGCCAGTAAGTAACATCCCTCCATGGCCTCTGCATCAACTCCTGCCTCCAGGTTCCTGCCCTGCTTGCCATTGGCGATAAACAGTTATATAGAAGTGTGATTGAATACAGCCGTTCCTCCCAAGTTGCTTTTGGTCACTGTGTTCCATCCCAGCAGTGGAAACCCTAACTAAGACAGCTACCTGTCTTGATTTAACTGACTGGTGGATTTAAGGTGAGGTTTCACTGTGGAGCCTAGGCTGGCCTCAGATTCACGGTGCCTCCACAGCCTCAAGCGTTGTGATTCCAGCTTTATGCCAACCTATACTTATTTGCAATGCCTGCGTGGCTTAAAACCACTCCTAAGGAGTTTTGTTAGGGGATATTTTTAAAAAGCGATCTAAAATAACTCTTGTTCTCCCTTTGGAGCGTTTTGCATTAAATTACTCACATTATCTTTCTGTGTAACCTGATGTGAGGCTCCAGTAAGAATCATGAGCTCATTTTTCTTAATTAAAAAAAATGGAGGTGTAATTTCTACCTCCTGAAATTCACCCCTTTTTTTTCTCACACACGTTTTTATGGGCCGTGGCAAATGTGTAAAGCTGGGTGGCTACCATACCTAAGACCAAACCTCAAGACTCTGGGCCCATTGGTAATCTGACTGGGGTACATCCTGTGCTGGTGCATATCTGTGATCTGAGTATTCAGGGGGCTGAGGCAAGAGGATGGAGAGTTCTAAGCCAGCCTGGGATACGTATCAAGGCCCTGTCTAAAACAGAACAGGAGGTAGAAATCCAGGCTATGCTGGGCCATAACGCAGGTTCAAGGCCAGCCTGGGCAGCCTACTGAGATCTGGTTTCCAAAGGAAAAGTAATAAAAAAAAAAATGAGGACTCAGGATAGAGCTCAGAGTACTGGTTAAGTGAGAGACACAGAGACACAGAGACACAGAGAGAGATGGACACAGAGAGACAGACAGAGACAGAGAAACAGACATAGAGAGAGATTGAGACAGAGAGACAGACAGAGAAACAGAGAGACACAGAGACAGAGAGAGACTGAGACAGAGAGACAGACAGGGACACACATACACAGAGAGAGAGAGAGAGACAGAGACAGAGAGAGACAGAGACACAGAGAGATAGACAGACAAAAAGACTTACACAGAGAGAGACAGAGTCAGAGGGAGAGACAGAGGGAGAGGGAGAGACAGAGACAGAAAGAAAAAGACAGAGACAGAGAGACAGAAACAGACACACAGAGAAACAGACAGAGACAGAGACACACATACACAGAGACAGAAAGAGAGAAAGACAGAGACAGAGAGACAGACAGAGAAACAGACACACAGAGAGACAGAAAGATAGACAGAGAGATGGACAGAGAAACAGACAGACACACAAAGAGACAGACAGACAGAAACACACATACACAGAGAGAGAGAGAGACAGAAAGAGAGTCATACAGAGAGAGACAGAGAGACAGACAGATAGACAGACAGAGAGAGAGAATCCTTTGTGATTTCCCCTTTTCTAGAATGTCAAAATTGGTATAGCACTCAGGGGTAGAGGGCCTGTCCAGCATTCACGAGACCCTGGGTTCCACCCCCAGTATCAGGGTGAAGGTCATACTGTGCCTCAAGTGACACCCAGTGATCTGAGTCTGTCCACCCTCTCTTAGCAATATTGCTGTGGAGTCAGCCCCGTCTTGTTCCTGGGTGAGTAGTATTTGCAGTATGGTTACTTTTTTGTCAACTGGATACAAGCTAATGTCATCTGGGAAGAGGAGCCTTCAGTTGAGGAAATGCCTCATTTGACCTGTGGGTCAGTTTCTTAATTAGTGATTGACAGGGAGGGCCCTGCAACTGTGGGTGGTACCACCTCTAGGCAGGCTAAGCAAGCCCTGGGGAGCAAGCCAAGCAAGCTTCCTCCCCTGACTACCCTCAGTGATGGATCTGAGTCGTCAGATGAAGGAAATCCTTTCCTCCCAGGTGGCTTTAGGTCATGGTGTTGTTTTTTTTCTTTGTTTTCCGAGACAAGGTTTCTCTGTGTAGCCCTGGCTGTCCTGGAACTTGCTTTGTAGACCAGGCTGGGCTCGAACTCACTTTGCTTGCCTCCGCCTCCTAAGTGGTGGGTTTAAAGGCCTGTGAGACCACCACCTGGCATGGTCACGGTGTTTTATCAAAACAATAAAAAGCAAGCTAGACTGGCTATGGACACTGTGCGGCTTCTTACTTCAGTCCTTGAGTGGAGGACAGCTCAGATGCTTCTCAGTCACAGCCCTAGTGTCCTGGGTGGGCTCTGTGTCAGTTGGATCACGTGTTCCTGTCCGCTATGTATGTGAGCCTGCATCCAGCACACTGAGCCGCACTTAAAGGTTGTTTCCCATCATCCATTGTGTCCAGATGAGGCAATCAGCTTCCTGTTTTGTTTTGTTTATACACAGGGTTTTATGTATCCCAGGCTGGCCTCAATATAGCTGAGGATGACTTTAGACACCATTATATTATTATTATTTGTTTGTTTGTTTGCTTGCTTTTTGAGATAGAGTTTCTCTGTGTAGCCCAGGCTGTACTGTCCTGGAACGCACTCTGGGGACCAGGCTGCCCTTGAACTCAGAGATCTTCCTGCTTCTGCCTCCCAAGCGCTAGGATTAAAGGTGTGCGCCACCACTGCCAAGTTTAAACATTTATTTATGCCAGGCAGTGCTGGTGCACGCCTTTAATCCCAGCACTTGGGAGGCAGAGGCAGGCAGATTTCTGAGTTCGAGGCCAGCCTGATCTACAGAGTGAGTTCCAGGACAGCCAGGGCTACACAGAGAAACCCTGTCTCGAAAAACAAACAAACAAACAAAACATTTATTTATTTATTTATTTATTTATTGTGTGGCTTGCAGGGCAACTCCTAGTACATTTGTGGAGGTCAAAGGTACCCTGTGGGTTTGGGCATGGTGTAGGAACTGGATTTAGGTCATCAGACTTGGTGGTGAGTGCCATTATCCGCTGGGCCATCTCATTTCCCCTCCCCGCCAGCATCTCCCACGGAGCTGAGGATCTCAGAGCTCCTCCTGGGATTACAGGTGCTCCATGCTCTGCCTGGATACTTGGGTTGGTGCTACAGCCCAATCTCAAGTCCTTATGCATCCACAGAGAGCTATTCTCTGAGTGAACAATCTCCCTCGCCTCAGCTCTCACCCCCCCCCCACCCCCCAGCCTCCCTATTTCGAATTCTGGAATTCGGGAACACATTATTCCGCAAAACAGAATAAATGTTCCAATACTTGGAACAAAGGAGGGTGGCTGAACGGAAGAGGGAGGCAGGAAGAAAGTCAGAGCAGAAGCAGAGATGGGAGGGGCTGGAGGCCTTGAAAGCAGGAGGCCCTGAGTTAGCTCCTGGAGAAAAAGCTGGGCGTGGCAGAACACGCGTGGGGAGGATCCCTATGGTTTACTGGGCAGCCAGCCTGGATGGATGGATGAGCTCTCAGTGAGAGAGACTCTTATGTCTCAGAACATAAGGTGGAGGAGAGTGACTGAGGACCACCAGACATAGTCAGTCCTACACCACACACACACACACACACATACACATGCACACAAGTACACTCACACTCATAAACATTCACACATGCATACAGAAACACACAGGTGCACACACACTCATATACACACATGCACACACGTGCACACACATGTGTGCACACACACTCGTACATATTCACACACGCATGCACAAGCACACACACAGGTGCACACACACTCACATACACACACACACACACACACACACACACACACACACACACACAGAGTTATTTCCCAGTTCCTCCCCCTGTACAGCAGGGTCCGGGAAAGCAATATAGGAAGATGTCCTATGACTGAACATCCTGCTGTTGCAGGCTCTTTTGTGTGAGGATTGAAGCAGAGAAATTTGCTCTCATAATTCCCCATGGAAACGTGACTGTTTGGAAACTTGGGTTGTTATTGCCAGCCCCCATTTCTGGGAAGGCCGGACAAACAGCTTAATTTTAGCTCCGGGATGTGGAGCCTTAGCTTGACTGACTCCATTTTGATTTCTAGC